CGCATAGACTAATAATTGACGGCTGTACTCGCAACTAGTATCGGATTGTCGATGCCACAGTAAAGATCAAAGGACTGTACGCACGCGCTATGTTCGAGAGCGGAGATGTGCGTCCTTTTGTTAAATTACCTTGGTCTGAAAGTGTTGCCGTTTTGGTTTTATGCCGTTTTGGTCATTGCCGTTGACTCATTGACTTTTTGCCGTTTTGGTTTTTTGCCGTTTTGACCTGTTCCCCATTATTGTACTACAGTCAAATGAAAAAATATAGAAACATAATTTTGTTTTAATTACATTTTGTTGATTTCATATCATAAAAAATTAATTGTTTTTGCATTGCAAATTATTGTTATAATTATGATCCTATGTAATAAAGCAGCACTAGATACAACATACATGCCAAAACAAATTATAGAATTGTAAAGGTCAGTATATTACGTTTATATTTACGTTTATAGAGAACCAAACTTTTTTGTCATTAATACTTATATCAGCGTTACTACTGATGTATGGCCAAAAATAGAAATTTTTACCAATTCTGGTTGACAGAGGGCGATGTTGACGTAAGTCAAATATTCAGTCGGTGTTTGCGAGTAGAGAACAGACGTCAACCGTGTTATGATTGGTCAAACAAGCACGTGACAATGACAGGTCGAAGGGTCACACATGTGCTGCTCTTGTTATTTTGATATGGAAACCACAGCACAGAAAGTCAGTTCGAACGCAATAAGTTTAATAAAAAGGCATAACATGTTTATGAACTTATCGTGTCAACAGTAGTTCTAGATTTCCGTGTATTTAATAACAATATAAATTACAACTTTATATTCGTTAGTAATGAATAGTAACAAGTAAGAAATTAGACAGCATCAGGACTGCCATGGCCAAGTGGGGAAACTGTAACAGTAAACTGCGCGGTAAAATTGTTCGAAAGGGACAAAAAAATATTCATATATATTGAGAGGCCCTGTCAATCTGGAGGGGTCCATAGTGGACCCGTGTCATTTTTTAGGGCACATGATAGTAATTATTATTATTTTTGAAAGAAACATTGAAAAAAAATGCTACCTTCAATTTCTATGGGCCCCCTGGTAGGCTTGGGCCACGGGGACCTTCCCCCTGCCCCGCTCTCGGTGGCCTGGACAGCAGAGGAAAAACAGTCTTTCCATGACGTTGCGACAGGTTGGTGAGTGCGTGTACCGTACTCGCGCGATTAAGCGCCCGGGCGCTTAAAATATTTTTTGCACTGTTTGAGGGCGCTTATTCAAGCGGGGCGTTTATTCGAACGGGGCGCTTATGAAAATCGAGGGGTTCTTATGAGAACTTATTAAATTCAAGAGGCACATTTTGAATGAAAAAACGATTATATAAGGACATCAGGAAACCGCAAATTAAGAATGGTGGTGCGGCGGAAAAGATAATCGTCCAGAGAGCATGGCTTGTCATGACAAGAATGTTGTGAGTACAGTATTAGGCCTACATAACAGCAGAATAGCAGATGAAATTAGTGGTGGTGGTTAGCTTGTTGGCAATATTCGGCCGATTGAGATTAGCGGGATGGCATGATCATTGCAGGTTTTCTTGAAAACTCAGATGAGAATGTTTTAAAGGTGCAAATTGTCGGAAAAGGAGTAGAACTAGGCTATAGACAAATGTAAGAAGATGAAAGTTGGAAATATACTGTCTGTCCATGGAGCTCTCATCTGTCCAAGATAAATATCCTCATTTTGATGTTGACTACAGGAATGTGATTCCACTCCACACCTCAAATCATGCCAACATCCGCAGTCCCAGGATTGATTGAGGGGGCGTTTATTCAAATTATTATTGGGCGCTTATTCAAACGGGGCGCTTAAGAAAATTTCACGTTTATTCGAGAAGGGCGCTTATTCAAACGGGGCGTTTATTCGCGCGAGTACGGTAGTCTCAGCAAAGATACTAGAAATACAAGATAGAGTTCTCCACACAAAAAAAGTGT